CTACTCCTGCTGCTCCTCCTGCTGCTGCTGCTGCTGCTGCTGCTGCTACTGCTACTGCTACTGCTACTGCTACTGCTACTGCTGCTACTGCTACTGCTACTGCTACTGCTACTGCTACTGCACAAGATCCAGCTACGCCGCAAAGCTCCAGGCCCCAAGGGCCAAACCGAAAATCCTAAACTCCACATCTGCAGGACTAGTGCCCCCCCCCCCCCCACCCCTCGGCCATCACTTGATACGGGCTGCACCGTCTAGTAAGGGGTCCTCATGGAGGAGAGAGCGGAATTTTAGAATCGTGTCTTGGGGTAGATGAAAGTGTGTGCATGTTGCAACCATGCGGGGAAATTCTTAGTAAGTGTTCACGACTCCCATATTAGGGATATGGGACTGAGGAAGCAGCCAACTCATTGAAAAGTCTCCGAAGGCATCTACTGTTTTGTTGTGTTCCAATCGGTGCTCCATTGCAGCAAGAATCTTAGAGGCGCCCGTCCAGCAGCTGGGTGTTTCCATTTTCGAGCCTGTACCATCGCCATGAGGCACAAAGCTTTCCTGAACCTTCCTGCAACCACGAGCCAGCATTGCTTCAGGTGACTCCGCGTCCCGCGGTCCATCGAACTCGAGACAAAAAGCGTGAACAGCACCTCTCACATTCCTAAACCACCCTACTGGTCCCAAGCCCAAATGATCCCTGTGTGCAGGTGGTGGTTCCAGCAGGCAACGTGGAGGCCTTTTTCTGAGAGCTCTCTGAAATAGAAGAATATATCAAACTATCGTCGCGGCAATCACTGTCGTCGCCACTCTCCTCAACCCCGTCATGCCCATGACCGCCAGTGCCGTCACCTTCTCAGCATCACTACTCGACCCCGCACCCGGCAGCAGCAGCATCATTATGATTAACTTGGCAGTCATCGCTAATTGCACCGGGGATAGCAGACTCAAGCAGAAGCTTGGCAGCGGATCCGCCGAAGTTGCTGTTGGCTGCATGGCTGATGCTGATATCATGGCCGTGGCCTGTCCTTGCCATCAATGTCGTCCTGAGTGGTTCAGGAACGGCTGGTGGTGCCCCCAGGAGGTGAGAGTGGCACCAGTGCCGCCTCCTGCATCCCTTTGGCCTCGATTTGGCCAGCACTGGCCAGAAGCTGCCCACGGGGAGGACGATTCTGACTTTGCCCCCTTCGATGCAGAGCTGAGAGCAGTGTTGGAGGCTTCTCTCCGGACCGCCGCAGCAGACCGCCGCTACCTGGAAGAGCTTGAGCAGGCCATCAGCCGGTCGATCGAGGAGGCAGCCGGATTGGATTCGGGGTCGAACGCTCCCACCGAGCCTTCTTCTCTGGCAGCGCGATGTACAATCTGCATGGAGCAGAAGCATGATGGCATCCAGTGCTGCTGTGATGAGGCCGGCGCAGCTCACTTCTTGTGCAGAGAGTGCTTGCCGCAGTACGTGCACAGTGAGCTTCAGAGCGACGAAGAAAGCGGCAGGCGCCTGATGGAACGGCGTGCCTCTGGGCATTGCATCCGCTGCCCTGGGCGGAGCCAGTGTGAAGGATTCCTACAGCTGGACTCCCTTAGGCCGATGCTGCCCGCCGAAGACTGGTCAAAGTTGCAGGCAACCGCGGAAGCAGATGAGAACCATAGGCAGTGGCAGCAGTGGCGCCAGCACGAGCATCAGGAAGACCCCGAGTTGCTCCGTGAGGCCTTGCTCCGCTCCATGCCCAATGCAGTGCAGTGTGGGGGCTGCGGCTACGGGCCTATCGATCACACGGCTTGTTCAGATCTGGACGCCCACCACGGGGAATGGCATGGCAACACCCAGATCTCCAACCAGTGTCCGCGATGTGGATGGTGGCAGCACGACATCCAGCAGTGGCCACGCTGGGACGGCATGGTCAACTTGTGAGCAACCTACTTCAGCTGGATAATAGAACATAGTTCTCCAATTCTAACTGTGCTACACTTACAAGCATTAAGCATATTTATGTATCACAATCGTAGTCTTCATCCTGGGTTCTTGAAGGAAGGCATCGGAAACTCTCCCGGTTATCGAAGGCTTCGGCTCGGAGCTTCGTCTCAAGGGCTGGTCTTGAGCCGGTTGGACAGTCTTATGTCGAGCAGGTTTGCGGCATTTCAGTGCAGTCTAAATGCCGCAGCCGCTGGGCGATCGCAGAAACAGCGCGACCTGCAGAGATCACTTGGACGTGGCTCAGGGCAGCAACCAGAAGTAAGTAATGCCCAGCATCACTGCCACCAGTAACCAGTCATCATTGTGCGTCCTTTGTTGAAAGCAACGATGGCAGTGGTAATGGTCACTGACTCCTACCACGCTACTGTCATACTGACCAGTCTTATCTGACACGACGCTGTCAGGCCTTCCCTTGGGCCTTCCATGCTCTGGGCCGCTTAATAGAAACTGCGGCCAAGGCTCGCGTGCGTGTCATCTATCCAATACATACGTATATACATACATACATACATACGTATATCTGTATATATATATATGAATGATATACAGATATTTGTAGTTTACGTATATTCGTACACACATATTTGTATAATAATGTGTGTATGTATATGTATATATATATACACATACATATACACATACATACATACACATACATACACATACATACATACATACATACATACATACATACATACATACATGCATACATACGTACATACATGCATACATCTATACATGTATACGTACATTTATATGCATTTGTATATATACATGCATATATGTATGTATGTGTATATTGTTTACATGTATGGTTGTAGGTCTGTAGATATTTAGATATACAGTTATGCAGATATGTACATATGTATGTATATATGTATGTCTTTTTTGCATATATGCAATTGCACATATATGTGTGCGAACTCACATGTGGTCCATGTCTACAGTCTCTATCTTTCTCATCTCTCTCTAACTGCAACGTATACACATCCGCACATGCATCTGCCCGCATCTATACGTGCATGTATATCCGTGGCTAAATCGATGTTTATGTTTACGTCTCTCTCTCTCTCTATATATATATATGTGTTTATACAAAAACATACCGAGAGGTGTAGACGGAGGACGCTCCGGGTTTGATTATGATCTTCGGATGCTTAGGGCTTCTGGGGCCAGGGTTTTGAAGATTCGGGCTTGTGAGACTCCGGTTCTATGGCAATAACCACCGGAGCCTTAGTAAGCATGAGGATGATCAGGCTACGAACTATGCATCGCTGGGGCACGGTCGAGGGATTCAATGCTTACTCGCAATTCACAGGGTACGGCCTGGCTGGTAGAAAATACCACTTGCGGCACTTCTAAAGGCCAGAAACGGTTTCCGGTTCCCAAGCGCATTGCAAAAGAGTGAGAGAGTTGGCCACAGACTTGCCCTGCAACTCCGAAAGCCGAAAGCCGTAATTAGCCGTAAATCGCCAGTCTCCACTTTCTATGGTTATGAACTGTAGGGCTGTTTTTCATTGTGTGAAACTTGGCGCAGGGCTTCCCAGGCCAAGTGCCGGAGGCACGTGTGCATAGCTTCGTGCTCGAGCTTTGGGAGAGTTGAGCACGAGAACAAGACTGAGCGTTGGGAGAGGCACCCATAGATCTCATTCAGATACTCGTGTTGTTCTTACAGCAAGCCTTCTTGTTGGTGGTGGGATTCTCAGGGGGGAGAAGGAGCAGGGTTTGGGAATGAATAGGAGCTCATTCCATCCGAGACTCGTGGTTCGGGTGGCAGCCATCGCACGCTCGGGATCTCATTCTGTGGCTCTAGGACCCTGGGACCAAGGGGGCATCCGACAGCAGCGACGAATCGCAAACTCCAGCCCCGAAGCCAAGAAGACATGGTGAAAAGGAGCCGTACTTGATCGATCCGCTGATTTCACCCCTGTCGGGAGCTGAGAGGGGTGCTTGGTCTATGGTTACCAGGCGATGTTTCAGCTACTCTGCCATGTTTTGTCGAAGTAGAAGTCCGAATGTGTAGGGGCTCAGACAGTTGCGACACAGCGAAGTGCACGACCATCTTCTGTTGACGAGAAAGCAGTATCTTCCACCTGCACTTCACATGTACTCGTAACATCTGAAAGCAGCAGTCAGCAGAGTGCTTTTCCTTCCAGGCAGAGACATGAAATGGATGAGAAGGCGGCTGTCGGCAGCATCGCATGATCTTCCAAGGGCCCTTGATGAATCGAGCCCGAGCTCCCGAGCTCCTTTTAAGGAGCCATGCTAGTAGGGAGCCTATACAGCCAACAGAGCATGGCAAGGGTTTACAAAGGTCAGGACCTTCTCTGAAATCTCCAAACATGAATATAAAAGCCAACCCCAATGGGCAGTTTTGGCAGTACTGGTAGGGTCCACTATGAGACCGATTCGGTGTTGCCCGGAAGTCTCAACGCCCTAAACCCTATACCCTAAACCCCGTAACCCTCTTCACCCTCTCTCAGGTCGCTTTTCTTGCCGAACATGTCCGAGTTGCGAACCCTGCACTTGGAGCCCAAATCCCAGGCCCACACCCCAAACCCTGAAACCCGGAGCCTGCGCCGAGAACCGACACCCGAAACTTCCTGAACCCAAACCCCAGACATGTAGGACATTATACTAAATGATAGTACATTATAGTACATTGTAGGACGTCATAGTCTACTGTTCGTACATTGTGGCATACTGTAGAAAAAACCAGAATACGTTTGCCTGAGCTCATGGGCTCGGCCCGTCGAGCTGAGCCAGGCACCCGCAGCTGCACTGCAGAGCCTGGAAGATGGGCCGAAACCTTGGCAAAATGGGTTTTGGGGTTTAAAGTCTAGGAAATCAGACTAGTCAAAAATAATGTCATGGTAGTCGTAAGAAGAGTAATCAGGATACTAGGCATGATCGTACTAACAATCGCAACAATATTCATAGTATGCAGAGTAAGATTTGGGTGTCGGGTTTCGCAGTCTTCGGTTTAGCGACGAAAGGCTTTTGTTTCGAGTCTCGAAAGGTCTGAGGGAGGATTTCAAAGTAGCCTAAACGCTTTAGGGTTCAGGGGTTCCTCTTGACACAGACGGCTTCCGCCTGCCAGCAGCGCTTGCAGCCCCTTCGGCAAGATCTCCTGCAGAAGAATAGCACTGACATTGAGAGTGGGACAGTAGTAATGATATAATCAGGACTGACTACAATTTACAACTACTATAACTACTACCTTCTAACACTGCTGCTCTGCTGCTAGATATCAAGACCGTTCGTGGGCTCGTGACCGCTACTATAAGCATGAAGCTCAGTTCACATTACTATTGACCCTCGTATAGAAAAACCCATAGTATACTAACCGCAGTTCACTCCCGGACTCCCCGCTTCCGAGTCCGTACTTCGTGATCTCCAGCTTCCTGGACGCTCGTAGCCCGGCTCCCAGTGTGCACGCTTGGGCCTTCCAAGAAGGGCGGGAGTGGGTTGAAGCTGGTTCATGTCGCCCTTATCGCAAGGGTTGCTACGACGGACTTCTGATGTTTATGTATATACTACCATTATCAAAATAGCTGAAATTATGATTGTGCTTACTCAAGAACCGCAGCATGGGGAGGGCTTGGGGCTCAGAATCCGGGCTTTGAGTCTGCGCAGGTTCAAAGAATGAAGCATCCCAGGGTTTCCGGAAGACCTCATATGACCCCATCAAGACTCGGAACACTACTGCAGCAGAGAGCTTCAGCAAAAGGAAAGAAGATATTCTTAGTGCGCCGAATCCCTCGTTGTGCAGGTCTTGCAGCAGCAGACTCTGCATGCCAAGCTTTCAGGACCGCCGGGCTTGCTTTCCGAAGCTTCTGGCCGAGAGGGATCAGGAGTGCTCCTGAGATGCGGCTCGTGCTAAGCGCAGGGTCCAGGCCTTGACGCTCCGGTGTGTACCTGTGTGTGTAGAGTTCCCGGCGATTTTCTGAGGACCTTGAACACGATGTCTGGTGCAGGGCCCAGCAGCCGCCAGAGTTGGCTTAGGAAGTCGAGCCTCCGGAAGTTGATGATTCGTGACTTAGCAGGACGTGATTTTTGTTGGAATCGTGCTTTATACTCGTGTGGCTGGTTCTGTAACATGGACTGCCGGTGGCTATGCGTGCATGTGTGCTTAATGCTATACCGTCGCATGACCCAGTGGTTGTGCTGGTGACTTCCCGTCATGGTCATGGCCAAAGGTACTGTCATACTCTTATGGTCGTTCTCACGATCATTAGGTTTGCGTTAATTCCGTGGCCATGACTGAGGTGGTCCCTGGCATCACCTAGGTACAGACATGCCCGGCGCCTGGGTTTCCAGTGAGATTTTGTGCAGCATAGCGTTGGGACGTTTATAAATGTGTTGAAACTCGCAACCCGAGCACTCAAAGACTCAAGCAATGCAAAAGGGAGCATCTTAGCCGGTTGATTTTACTCTGAATGCCGTGATCATTGCGCAGGCATAGAATGCCCAGGATTGTCAACAGCCGAGCAAGGTATACAGTAAATGCTTCGTCATGATAGTACTGTTTTCTAGTGACAATACAGTGACACCACAGCATCAGCAGTCTCCATGGTGTATACATGCGGCCCGTGGCTAATTTCAAGGGCCAGATGGCTGCAAAATAGCATCAAAACACTTTGAAACACACACCTGCCTTGACTTCCAATGCTGTAACCTCTGCGAATGTCGTGCCGCTTTCATGCGCAACAACATGAGTAAAGGAGGAAGACAGAAGTGCGCAACCTTTCTAGCGATGACAGGGATGGATGCACATGCGGCCATCAGTATGGGATTCTACTACATTACTTCAACAGCCAAGTTTATGAGCCTGCAGAGAACTTCACACCAGAAAACGTCTCCAAGGACTGTAGAGCCCCACACCCTGGAGCCCTTGAGCCCAAAGCCCCGGACCCTTCTTTGCACAGGTTTCGGGGTCTTGAGCTTGAGGATGAAGGCCTCTTCGGCCGTCTGGGACCTCAGAGGGCCAGTAGACGGTTGGTAATTTCAAGAGTTATGGCCCCGGGGTGAGCCGTCCTCATTGCAGAAGCCTTTTCCTGTGTATGAGAGATGTTAAGGAGCCCAAATTAACGGAAGCTGACGTTCCTTGGAGTTTGGGCTTCAGCAGGATTGACTTCAATGGGTTTCTCGGTTTGAAGAAGACGACTGCGCGTTGTAGCAGCAATGGTTTACAAGCAGGGCTCCTGCTGAAGACACGCTGTTGCCATACTGAAACTGAAGGCTTGGAACCTGCCACTTCCCGTAGCATTCGAAGAGGCGTTCAGGGTGGGTGCATAGTGGTGGACAACTGGCAGAAACGACAGCAGCAGCTGCAGGGCACGGTAATAAGAGGTATCATGATGTTAGTAGTATGCGTACATCATACGACCGGTTCGTGATGCCGATGGTGCACTGGTACTTGAGTGGTACTGACACTGGTACCAGTACCAGTACGAGTACTAGCACCAGTACCAGTACTATTACCCCAGTACCACTACATCCACCGTTGGGTACGATATCGTGGTCATCACTGGTATACCATGATGACGGTAGTAAGCTGTAGGAGTAGATTAGTCCGTGCAACGAGGGGAGGACAGCGAGGAGGCGCTGGTTTCCAGGACTGCGCATCCGGCCCGTGGCCCAGAACAGGGCTATCCGTTATAATGCATTACAGGGAATTCTAGTATATTATGGCACATTTCTGTACAAACGAGTATACCCTAGTATGTTTGACGCTTGCTGTGCTTGAGGACTGGCGAGGTCGCTTCGCGCGCTTCCGCCGGGAACTGCCGGGAGCCCGGAAGAAGGCCAAGTCGCATTTACTGTTTGGTGTGTTCGTAAAGCCGGCAGCGATGGTCTAAGCACCACTAGCAAGAACATGCTTAATGACAGGTTTTCCATTCCGCTATTGTTTTGTATTTGTCGTATCAGAGTTTGCACAAGGAAACCATGGGGTCTATGACAAACTTGGCTAAATACAATTCCTCAAGCCCTCACTCCTTCGGATGGAACCTGCAGACATGGGGCGATAAAGGGATAAAAGGAAGAGGCAGATGGAGCAAGGCGCTTAACACAAGACCGTAAATTCTAGAGGCAGACTCAGCAGAAAAAGGTACTCAAAAAAAGCAACTTCAACCTCTAGGGGCCCTAAACCATCAACGGCCCCCGCTCGGTAAGGTCAGTTGGCCTAGAGTCGCTTTGGATAGATGGGTCGCCGTCACCTCTCAGCGAAGACCTCAAAGGAGCGGCCTCGATCTTTAAAAAGGTGGCAAAGGAAACCCTAAGCCCCAAACAAATCCTAAACCCCTTAAAACGATGATCCTGGAAGGGAAACTGTAAACCCTTTGAAGGGGAGCCCTAGAAACCCGGATCCCAGGCCGTCCTTCCGAGCTCCATTTGTTGGGCCGGTCATCGAGGTGGTGGAACAGGTGGGGGGCAGGGGGGCAGGGTTGGGATTCTTCAAGTTAGTTCCTAAACCCTAAACCCCAAACCCTAAACCCTGGTTCGTGGTTTTGGGGTTGCCCTCCGGCTCCGGGATCCTCGACAAATTTGGTAAAGTTATCTTGGACGTAGGATCATGTTCGTAGGGGTGTTGACAGGAAGGACGCTGTTGTTCTGTGAATTGAGGGTTGGTTGTTGACGTCACACACCCGGCCCGAGTCAATTCAGGAGACAGCCTCATCGCAAGTACGTTATAGTACCTTTTCGGCATAGTATATTATAGTACATTGTAGCATATTGCAGTATATCACAGTAATTTGTACTACATTACATTAGCATGCAGTAGCATATCGCAGTATATTACAGTGATAATTTCGTATACTATGGATTATTGTGGCGTCTTTATCGTTATTGTACAGTATATGATAGTACATAATGGTACTTCCTAGTTGCTAAAGCCCCTGTCAAAGGCAGATGAGATCGCGTACTGCCGTTGCCGGCTGCGCCCTGCGCCCGGCCTGCCAGACGCCAGCGTTCGCATCGATGATAATATACTATGTTATTGTGTACCAAAATACCTTGTTATAGTATACTATAGTATAATGTAGTCTACTGTAGTATACACTCGTATACCACAGTATACTGCAGTATCCTAGAGTATATTACGGTATACTGCAATGTATAAAAATGTACTAGAATGTATTAGAAGGAACAAATGTACCATGATATACTATAGTGGAACTCTTAACCTTCAACCCGTTTGCAGACGGACAGCTTCTGCACGCTTCTTCGGTGCTAGAGATAGCGTTGAAAGGCAGAGCTTATCAGAATTCCAGTGCCCACGGTCTTCACGAATGCATAGCATAGTACAGTACATGATAGCATATTATAGTATATTCATAGTACAGTATATGCAAAAGGCGCCATAGCCTGAACCTACACCCTCATCTGCGGAACCTCAGTTCAAAATCCTTAGTCAGAGCAAGTCCCAGGAACTGACTCCCTGGGACTGCGGCTGGACCGCGGTGCTTACCTGGAGGCTGTGGACTGTCCCGGCTCTCCTCGTGTTCTTTTCCTTCTTGCGGTCAGGTCTGTGAACACCAGGTACTGGTTCCCCTTCCGGATATTTGGCAGCGTTGTGAGATAGTGACGTTACTGGTATGACGATAGAAATGCTTGTGTTACTCAGAAGTATGATTCCCTGATGTTCGTGTGCCAGGGTTCTCAGGTTGTGCCTGGCAAAAGCCTCGACGGTGGTTTGAAGGCTTCGTGTCAAGAAAGGTTCGCTTGTGGAGATGTTATTCGTATCAAGGCAAGAATCGAGCTTATCGTCCAAGAATTGGTTCAAAAAGCGATGAACCGCGAAACGAAGATGTAAGATCAGACGACCAGCCCAAACCCTAAACCCGAAACCCAGAAAAGCTGGGTGTCTTTGTTTTGGTTCTGTCGCAGCGGAGTAGGAAGCTGTCCTGATCGACATAAGGCATGTCAGACGATTGCTGCGTACCTGTTCCGGCCGCTAGCAATTGTGGAGCTTGTTAAGTAGAAGTCTCCCCGGCATTGCGCCTCTTGCAGCCACTTGATGATAGCGTCTGCTACTATTACAACTGCTTCCCCCTCTAAACAAGTTATACATGCGAAACTCTGAACCCTCGAAGAAGTTGCTTGCCAGGTAGAGGTGCTCAGCAATCCGGACAATGTCAGCCTAGCAGTGGTTGACTTCGAGGCCTCCAACTTCCGCGCGCTTACGGGCGTCTGAGGTTTTGGCTCAAATCGAGGTTCCTGATCTCTTGAGAGATTCTCGTGACAGTTTCTCGTGATTCCAAGGTGTGCAGCCCTTGAGTCGGAGCTCTCGATTGTATGAAGCTATATGACCCGGAGATTCTGAGTGAAACTCTTCGGTTGTATGCCCACTTTACTCTGCACGCTTTCAGCATCACACAGAAGCACATGCTACCTGCAGCATCATGCTGAAAGGTGCCCACTTATTGGGGCATTAGCAGTTGTCTGTTGCACATCTTCTCCTTACCAAAACTCTTGAGCCCTAAAGTGTAAGAGTGGGAGAGACGAGGACAAGAGCCAGCAAGCCAGACCTCGAGAATCCGGACTGGTGTGTGTTTACAATGCAGTCTTAGGCGAAGCACAATAGTAGCTTCGCGAAACCTGTGAGACCCCTTCACAAAAAAAAAAACACAACACACTCCCGCAACGTAAACGCCGGAAGCCTTGAACCCTGTGGCCTACACCCTAAACCGAAAGCTTTGTCTGTAGTCCCTGGGATTAAGCAAAGCGAGTGGAGGCCGGAGGCTGCAGCAGTGTCCAGCACTCGGATACCACTAGGCGTTCCAAGTTTACAGGCGTCCTCAGGGCGGCTGACGGCTTGTTGTGTTCTCTTATGGGTGTCTTCCGTTGGGCGTCAACATGTGGCCAGGTTCGTAGCATTTACTCCTCTTACTTACTTTACCTTACTGTACTTTACTTCACTTACTTACTTCTACTACAACTATTACTACTACCACTACCACCACTACT